TAAATTGTAAAAACTGAGATAAATTTCTATCGCGTTAGGTAATTAAGTGGTAACCGACCAGCCAATCAGAGATAGCGCATGCGCTACCGGTGCGCTAGCGCAATGCTTGCGCTATCAGTCACATTTTTTGTTTACACGAGCACTCTAGTATAAATTTATACCTTGTTGGAGATCACTTAATTGTTTCACTGTAATTTGGCGAATAATAAGTTTCTATGTTGTTGTTATTATTATTATGCTTGGTGAGGCGACAGCTCCGCAGGGCAGTACGGGTAATCTATATCTCTGCACCAATGACTAATTGCTAAGCAGACTGACTTCGATCAGTGTGTGTCCCTAAAAGTATTCATAGATAGGCTAGGTCAGCACAGGCCTGCTGGCTTGACGCAATTTGATGGTCGTCTGCCGTGCTCGGTAAGGTGGCGGGCTGGCGGCCAGGCGCTTGGGCAGTATAGTTGCTTATTATTTCTGTTACAACGTCACTGGTGATTGCGGTTAAGATGACGTCACGAATAATAATTACNGATTGGCCACTATTAGCGGTGCTGACTCTAGCCTCTGGTATGTTCGGAATATTAAACATTAAACAAGCTCAACGCTCGAAACAATCGATTAATGTATCGTGATCGTGTGGAATTCGGGAAAGAGAATTACTTTTATTTCAGATTATGATCCGGTGAGTCACAAAATCTGGCAAATTCCGAAATCCGGTATATTCCTTATTCCGGTTGTTCCGGATGTATGTAAATCCAGCGGAACCGGATTTCACCGGATAGTGCAAAATCCGGCGGAAGCGGATTCCGGCACACCCCTATAATGAAATGCAATACTTATTTACATTCTAAAAGTTAAAGGCTATATTCATGAAGGCCCAACAATGTTTTGTTTTTTTCATTGAGATTTATAATAATTCTAAAGGGAATCTAGGCGGGAGAATCTAAATGCCAATAGTAAATTAGTGAAACATGCATTTAATTCCCTTTTTCTGGGAAACTTTCATCTGAATACATATATTAATTATTATACTAAGTTTACAAAGATTAGGCAGGTAAATTACATTTACATCCTTTGACTAGATTTTATAAGGTTGCTGATAAAAAAATGGATACATGATTAACTATGATCTTTTTGAAATTGTCAACAGCAGACATTCATGAAATTATTCATGACCTACTGTTATTATTAGTTTTATTATTAGTAAAATATTAGACGTAGACATGGGTGGGCTGGGCCAAATTCCTGTGGCAGCAAGAGCCAGTGATATCCAAATACCATGAGCTGGTGGGACCAGCTCTGTGTTTCTTCCGTTATGGCCACGCGGCTGGTAGTGTCAATGTTAGTAGTATCATATTAAATGTGACCTAGATTTAATTCGGCCACAGCTGGTTTTTCAATCTTGTAGTTAATCAGTTAACCCATTCAGGCCGCTCAGAATTTTATCATTGGAAACCCCAGCCAAGGGGAGCAACTCCACCCAATTCATAAAAAAGTTTTGTTTTTTTTAAATTTAAAACAGTTATTGCACGTGATGCATGCAATCACCATCTTTTGTGATGCATGCAATCACCATCACAAAATGTGGAGATGCAGTCCATAGTGAAGTGAAAAATACCAAAGGAACTTGCACTTTAAAATTAAAATTTCTAAAGCTAGAAAGTTGATTCTTATTTCATTTTTTTATTTGAAGTTTGCTCTATACACAACTGTGATATTTTAATTGTTTTTAACAAAGTACCTACCTACCATTCAGGCATACTTCCATGCCATAACTTTCTAAAACTTAAGTCTAAAGTTACAGTTTACAGTAAGTAAAATCAATCTTTTTGGTTTTGTTTAAAAATTAAAATGATTTTAAAATGAAAACGATTTATATTTACCCTTCACAGTTCTTGATTGTAGCTATATGCCTACTTAAGCAAAATTAATAAGCTCATTTTAAACGGGGATACTCTTCGGATGATGGACTGGTCATCATGGATGCAATCTGAAAAGTCACCTTTGCACGTGTGACTTGGCTGGTCATTGGTCAGTCATTGATGGCATGCGTGGATTCACCGGAACCTGTGTTAATCTGAGAATCATCCTTGAATCAAAACTACAACCACATACTTCGATTCTAAAAAAAAATTGACTAAATAGTCTCATGATTTTAATACTATTCCTATTCCCGAGAAAGGCCCATTTTTAAGTCATTAATTATGGACAAAACGCCATCCCTTTCACTTTCATATAAATAGTCGCTTACTAGCTTATGGTTTATCAAGACCGGAAGTTATTGTCTATTTATACGACAAATGTATCTTCTTCTTCTTCTTATATCTTCTTACCCCGTCTGGGGCATAGGCCGTCAACAAGAATGTTCCATTTATCACGGTCCTGTGCTTTCCTTTCTAGATGCTTCCAGGTGTATCCCATACTTTGCGTGTCTGCCTCTAGCTCGCTTACCCATGTATTCTTTTGCCTTCCTCATTTTCTTTGTCCCTGTGGATTCCATGTTAGGGATTGTCTGGTGATGCTATTAAGGGGTTTTCGGAGAGAATGCCCTATCCACCTCCATCTTTTCTTTATGATATCATCATCAATGGGCACCTTGTATATCCTTTCTGGTAGATCTTTGGCTTTTTGATGCTCAGAATCTTTCTAAGGCATGTGTTTATGAAGGGCTGTACTTTTTGCGTAATGCTCGCTGTTTTTTTTCAAGTTTCTGCACCATATAGTAGGACTGTTTTGACATTTATGTTAAACATTCTGAATTTGTTTTGCAGTTTCATCTCCTTCGACTCCCACATTTCTTTAAGAGCACAAATGCTGATCTAGCTTTCCAATTCTATCCCTTACATCCACGTCAGATCCGCCATTTATGTCGATGGTGCTGCCTAAGCATGTGAAGAGCTCCACTTCTTCCAGTGTCTTTCCTGTCAGAGAGATATGCTCTTGGTTGGCCGAGTTTACCTTCATGATCTTTGTCTTGCTTTCATTTATACTGAGTCCGAGCTGTGCTGAAATGGTGTCTATGTCTTTTGTCTTTTCCTGCATTTGTTGCTGGTTGTGGGACAGAAGTGCAATGTCGTCTGCAAAGTCTAGGTCATTCAATTGTTCCCAGACTGTCCACTGTATTCCGTTCCTCTTGTTGTCTACGGATTTTTTTCACTTTCCAGAAAAATGCGAGGATGAATAGACAGAGGGACAAGACATCCTTGTCTCACTCCAATTTCCACTTTAAAGTCATCTGTGAGTTTACCTGGTCGCCCTGGTCTTTCATTCTATTCAAAATAATTCTGTTAAAGACCTTTCCTTGTACAGATAGCAGTGTAATTCCTCTGTAATTTGCACAAATGTATGCGGGAGTAAAAAAGAAAATCAATGTTAACAGCTCTACTATTGCAATTTAAATGGCTGATTTTAAGCTTTTCAAAATATTTTCACATTGTTAAATTAATCTTATGTGATTGATTTTTTAAAAAGGTAAAAACAGCCCTGGGAAGACTGGACTGAACATAAAACATCACTATTTTGACCGATTTTCACCTCCCCCCACCCCCCCCCCTTTTACTAAATCATCACACATTTTTAAAAGAAATTAGACACTGTCTTGTACCTTTATAATTCTATTTATATTACACATAGATCATCGCCAAGTTCATGCATCCTCGAAATCTTTCCTATCCGGTTTTTCTAAAGTCTAAAGGGTTCCCACAAAAGGACTGCATTATTGGAGTAGTCCCTCTTCAGCCAACATCATTTATACAAATGCATATTTGTGTGAAATATATATATTCGTTTTAAACACATGCAGTTTCATTATAATATAATGTAAGTTGCTCATGCCTCTGACATGTATTCAATAGTAAAGTTAATTATTCATACTTCTGTGTTATCTTTATTTTCACTGCCTTTTTAATTTACACTGTTGCATGCTAAACTCAAGTAAAGTGGTTGAAGTCGAGGGTAAAAAAGAGATTTAATGAAATGAACTTGGTACCGGTATCTTAATTTATTTTATCTCAAACGATACAGCCTCTGAGATTTGTATGGTTACACTTTGGTTTTATATTTTATAAAGCTGTCTTGTCAATTTTAAATATTTCAATCAAAAGAAATACAAAAAAAAAAAAAAAAAAAAAAAAAAAAA